ACCAGGATGAATAATCAACACGCATAACACAACAATCACACGAGAAACAGTTAATACGTCAAACTAACGGTAATCAAAATTGTGTGTCGATCTCCTGCACAGAAACCGTCAACAAACACATCCAATAACACGAAATCATCCATATCAACAAGAATCAAGTAGCCATGGTCACGCACTCACCTTAGGAAAACGGTCATAACACGAATTTCAAATTTTAGATTAAACCGAACTCGGTAGCTCTGGAAAGCTAAGACTCGGGGTTTTCCAATGATACCTAGATCGTCTTCTAGATCCTTACAGAACGACGGGAAAACAGTCCGCAAGTTCGTTATTCGGAACTGGAAAAAGGAAATTCCAGTCTCAGATAACATGAACGACACGTTGACATCTAAAGGACGGAAATTACATCGGAAACAGGATCGGAAACCTGTTCTGAAAAGTAGACAGAGAGAGCTTTCCATAGATAGGAGGATCGTCTCCTAAGTCCTTCTGGTTCAACGGGAATCCTCCCTCGAAATGGACTGATCGCAGACCCAAAACTGCAGAAACATCTCTTAGTAAACGACGATAACTCTCGGAATACTAACCCAAATGACAAACCTATTTCGCCCAAAGCTAGATACGAGAGTAGAGAACTTACCCTAGAAGTTTCGCTCTAATCCGATCCGATCTACCTAGCCGTTCGTCTACGCTTCTAAAATCGGACATAACTATTTTTCTCTCAAGAAAATCACTTCTCTCACAATTCTCTCTAACTCTTCTGATTTTTGGCCAAAAAAGCCACAAAACGCGATCTCCACGCTTATATAATGGAATCCTAAGAATCGCCAAACCGAACGATCAAAAACCGAACCAGACGGTTCAATTTCAACTTGCGTCGATCGACGCACAGCACTTGTGTCGATCGACGCAACACCCAGAACCCGACTCCTCGCGAGTCCAAACATGTATGTCGATCGACACACACACTGTGTCGATCGACGCACCACCAAAAATACATATTTTGGTTCACGGACGTTACACCAGGTATGGCCAAACAGGCCCAATACACGACCCAAGCCCAATACTAAAATCTAGTTCAACAAACCCTAATCCCCCACAGCACAGTTCAAAAGCACCACACTGATGACTATCCGACGGCATAAGAACCGCCGCCGGACCACAAGAGGTCAAATCCTCTAGCAAATCGGATTAGGAAGGCGACCCACTTACAACCGCGGCAACGATGAAGATTTGAATTGAGAGTACTCGCCAATCGTCTTTGCGGGATTTCTACAGGCCGAGAGAAAATGCCGAGAGTAAAGGCGGGGAAACTCCGCGTTGAGAGGCCATCACCATCGGTAGAAGCAAAGAAGCCAACATGTTCCTCATGAGTCGTCGAACGAAGGGAGCCGAGGGAGATCTGAAGTCGGACGACACAACCCCCCAAGCAGATAACAATCTAAGCAAGCCAAAGACCAGAAGAGAAGAGAAACCTTACCAACAACAAAGAAGACAAAGCCATCAAGGGAGGAAAAGACCACTACGAAGCAGAACCGCCAGGAGAACTCATCCAATCAGCAGATCTCCTTGTTGTTAACCAATAATCAAAGGTAATGTATGTAATTCGGCCCAAAATAGGTAGATGGCAAGAGTAGTAATTAGAGCGATTTCATTAAAGATACCCTCGACCAGCTCAAAATCGTTATGAGACCGCCTAATAGTATAGATAACTTACTTCATATATAATAGAATAGATAGGTCATAGAGATTAGTATTACAGTTGTATTTGGTTTAATTAGGTTCTTTAGTTGAACCGCATAATTTGACTGAACAGTATAAATATTTTATATTTATTAAAAAGTTAAAATATTAAAAACATTATTTTTTTTTAATAACAAATTCTTTTGGTTAAGATGAAAAAGTTACAAGAATGCGACAGGAACAAATAGTTTCTTGTACTTAAAAGGCAGCTGGTTCAAGAACCAAATACAGAAAAATAATACTAGTAGCTAGTTTTGACATGTTAAGCACACAAGGGACTTATGTTTTTGTTGAATCATATCCATTGTCTTTCGCCATATAGACGTGAACAGAGCTATGAAAGTGTGTGAATTTGGAGATGCTTATCTTATTATAATGAGGAATCTTGGTACTGAAATTTGGTGGATTCAAGTTAACAATGTAACATGCATGTTATGGCGAGAGCATAAACTGTGATAAATTTGGGATTATTAAGTAGGCCAATGGTAAAAAAAATTATTTATGATCACAGTTTGTTTTCTTGATTCTGGAGTGAGCTTATTCGTCGATGATAATAGAATTAAATTAAGATTGGATACCGCAAAAGTATATTGGAAGTCTTGAGTTAGTTTCTATTAACTTTTCTTTCATATATTTACAAAAACTGTAGCCTTTAATGGCATAAGGTGTTAAGAATAGAGACTCTGTATTTGATCAAAGACTTAGAGAGAGATTCAAGTCCATCTTCAAGATCTTGAATGCATGACTCTAGGATCTGAACATCCTCCATCTTCACCGTCTTCTCGGATAGGAATTCGGAGTCTACTCTTGTGAATTCGTTTGCTTGCCCTTCACACGAGACTTTTCTCTGGCTCATTAGCTTTGAGACCAGCGACCATTTGCCACAACTCTTTGATCCAGACATGAAACAGAATAGAGAATCAAAAAGAGCTATTGTAATAGCTTCTGCTTCTCCAAACATAGCAAGAGATTCGTCGTTGAACTCATTGTCTTGTTTGACCTTCAAACTCTTGAGGACCTTTTGGAATGACATCTTGAGGAATCTTCTTGAGGTTAAGTATTTCTTGACCTCTTCCAATAGATCTCCACGCTTTCTTCTTAGAATCGATTGAATCTCCATCAAACCTTCTTTCATCTGCGACAAAGCATCTTTGGAAATGGTGCACAAATCTAAGATCCTTAGAGATCCATCGAGAAGCTGCTCAACAGCTTTCTTGTTCTGTTCTTGAGATAGCGCTTGTTGTGTGATGGGTAGGCCAATAAGCTTGTCAAGGAACTCGTGTAGCTCTTAAAGGTTGTCAAGTCTTTGACATATAAAAGAGCTTGAAGATGTTGTGGCTTCCTCAGAAGATCTCAATCGGTTTAATTGATCTTCGACATGAGTGGCTTGTGGGTGAAGTCTTGAAGGGAAACTCTTAGAGCGAACATGGAAAGAGGCTGCCATTTTTGTTTTATGTTAGCTCTTTGTTTGATCAAAGAGAAGATGTTGATAGAGCTAAAGATGTTTGCTCTGCTTGCTCATTACCTCTCCGTGCAATACATATATACACCATCAGGAAAGAGAGGCAAATGAATCTCAGGGTAATTAAAAAATTAAAATCATCAATACAATGTTCCCCTTCAAATGTCACAAAAGGCATCTCACAGCTCAATTCTCAAGATTTCTTTAAGGCATTGAGATGCGCTTTCGTTGCATGTATGCTTATTTAAAACATAGTTGGCTTGTCTGCTGTTGAATCTCATGCCATTCGTGCAGATCGCATCCTTATCTCTCGAGACTAAATGAGTAATTTAATCTCCTTCTTTACAGCTATTACACATGTCATGTGAACTTCCAGACTACAATGTGCAATCGAATAAGGCATAGTAGACAATGCTGATCCAAGATTGTGCATTTCAAGTTTTACTCACGTCGAAAATGCATCCCCCTATCCAGAAAACAAGTAATCTTCATACATGAGTTAAGTATTGCGCTTTGATGTTTGCATAAATTATTCAGATTAATCTTTCTTCTGATTGATCCACATGAGCTTGCCATATGATCTCACACGCTTGTATTCATATTTCTGATTATATTAAGCAAGACAAAATATATTGTAACCAACTCTTTAAACAAAAAAAACTATGATAGTAATGGTGGTTTTGGGTGGATCTTGCCTAGATCCGTAGATAATGGGCATGTAAACAAATCGTTGTGTTACCCCTTCCGATATTCATAAGGGTCATACAATAATATACTTGCAAGACAAGAAAACAAGATGTTATCAAAATTTGAAAATGCACGAGTGTTTCCAAATTAGAATACAGTCAAGATCCTTGTTCATCGATTTTTGACATGTGAATGCACACGGAGACTCATTTGTATTGTTTCCATTATATAGACATGAACAGATTTATTTATAGTAGAAAACGTGTGAATTTTAAAGAAAACAGTTTTTCACTTTTCAGACAGCTTTCTCAAAGATATCACATAGACAAGATCCATATTCGTCGTTTTAAACATGTGAAACCACACGGAGACTTTAAAAGTTTCTTTTTTTTATATATTTTCTTTGAATTATTTCAAAGTGTTCCCCACCATAAAGACATGAACAGAGTTATTATTGCATAGAACGTGTCAAATTCAGCAATACACCATTAATCAGTGATCTTTTTATAATAAAGAATCTGAGACAGCCTCAATTAGGTGGATTGAAGTTGTTAACATAATTTGTTTAAAGTGTTAAATTTTTGGAGTTAAAGAATCAAACGAGTGAACTCTTGTTCTTTGATGATGAAAGATTCAAAGGTTAAATAAATAATTAACATGTTTAGGATTGAGACTTGAATATGTTTCTATTATCTTTTCTTTTCTGTACAACAATTTTAGGCTTTAACTGCCTAATGAGTTAAGAATTGAGACTATGTATTTAATCAAAGACTTGGAGAGAGATTCAAGTCCATCTTCAAGATCTTCAATGCATGACTCTAGGATTTGAACATCCTCCATATTCAAGGTTTTCTCGGATTGAAATTTGGAATCAATGCTTGTTAATTCGTTTGCTTCAGCTTCACATGTAACTTTCTTCTTGTTCATTAGCTTTGTGACAACCGACCATTTCCCACAAGTCTTTGATCCAGACATGTAGCTGAAGAGAGAATCAAACAGAGCAATTGTGGCGGCTTCTGCTTATGCAAAGACAACTAAAGATTCTCCGTCTTTTGCAAACTTCAAAGGCTTTAGTACTTTTCAGAATGTCTTCTTGAGGGACTTTCTTGTAGCCAAGTATTTCCTGACCTCTCCTGATAGATCTCCACGCTTTCTTTGTAGAATCGATTGGATCTCCATGAGACCCTCTTTCATCTGCAACAAAGCATCCTTGGAAATGTTGCACAGATCCAAAGTCTTGAGAGACCCATCAAGAAGCTGCTCAATGACTTTCTTGTTTTGCTCTTGAGCTAGATTCTTATGTAACAGGCAGGCGAATAAGCTTCTCAAGAGACTCGTGAAGCTCTTGAATGTTGTCAAGTATTTGGCATATAGAAGAGCTTGAAGATGTTGAGGCTTCCTCAGAAGATCTCAAACAAGCCAACTTCTCAACGACATGACCGGCTTGTGGGTGAAGTCTAGAGGGAAAACTGTCAGAGCAAACATGGAAAGAGACTGCCATTTTGAAATTAATCATAACATAATTTTGTAAATATCATTTAATTTTTTAAGTGGATTCATCTTTTACATCATTTGATATAGCATCCGTTGGACTAATTTTGCACTGTTGAAAACAATTTGTTATGTTTCTTATTTTAAAGAAAAAAAATTATTGAAGGGTATAAACTAAAAAACATATATTTTCAAATTCATATAATTAATTTATCACCAATTAATAAAATGTTATAATATTGTATTCAAATTCATACATGACATATCACCCTAGACAGTGATTTGCTTGCCACTAGGTAAGCTAATGTCAACAAGAGAAGGCAGTCATGATTTATTTCCATTGTGTCTAAGATGATTTGACTTGCATGACATTTATGCAATGTTTTCTGCTTGTTGAAATCCTCTATCAATCTTTTCATAAAACCCAAGTTAATTCTTTCGAAGATAATTCTTCTCGAGTAGTGTAGAAACCGAGAAAATGCTTTCCTTGTTCCTTCTTTGTCTCCACTTATCGTCACATAACACTCTTCTCTATTTTTATTGTAACATAATATCGAAACATCAAAGAAGCTTTCCCATTCTCTATTTTTACAGACATTTATTGTGCCATGTATGTTTCCAGTTCTCTTTGGTGCAGGTCCTCCTAAGAGGAAACCATCTTTTGTTGTATCGCGTAACAGAACCTTCAAATGGAGAAGAGATATTTGAAAACGTAGTGATGCGTCCTTCTCTAAGGAAAAGAATGGAATATCTTGCTAGAGCCACAACAACTACAAATGCTCATCAAGTCCCATTCCGAAACATGATGCTTTATGGACCTCTGGGTACCAGTAAAACGATGGTCGATAGGAAACTTGCTCGGAAGTCTGGGAGATAAATACTTGGGTTTTTTTTCAATGGAGGTTGTTTGTTTGGGTTCTCACATTTGTTTGTTTGTTCTTGCAGGGTCATGACTATTGCCTCATCCCAGGTGGGGATGTAGCACATGTAGGTCCACAAGCGTGGTCTAGAGTGCATAAGATCTTCGAGGTGAAAAAAACAAAGAGAGGGCTACAGATTTTGATAGATGATGCTGATATGTTTTTACACAAGTAATATTTTCTTCTTTAAAGCATTTGAATAATTTTCTAAAAATCCAGTTTATATATAGTGTGCAAACATCTGGCATGGAGGAAGTGCCATCAACCTGAGATTATAAGGATTCCAAGCCGATAATATAATAAGCCGATCATCAGGATTGTTATTGATGTTCTTTTGATTTACATCAAATCCACCAGTATAACCAACCTGCATATATGTGTAGCTGTAAACCAAGAGAAAGATATCCAGCAAAACAGAGAAGAAATGCCAAGATACGCATTGAAATGTTTAATAACTTAGCACCATTGAAATTCATATACAGATCTAAGGTCGCCTTTCTCTTTCTCTCTCTGTCAGGCCATCAAAACTAACTTCTCATTTCTTGAAAGGATAATGCCGGTTAAAAATTATACCCTTCAAAATACTCTCTTCACGCATTCTGATCCCATTTTGTTTTTCTCACTGAAATTTTCATTCAAATTTAACCTTCAAAACTGAAGGAATAAGCATAGTTTAACATAGATAAAATGGCTAAAACATCTCCCAACCAAAGGGCAAAGTAAATAAAAATAACAGGAGACAACAAAGACCTAGAAGACAACAAAGAGATTGAGTCTCTAAAGTCATGAGGAACTCCTCCAAAGTTGTTGATAGAATCACTTAAAATGATGGTTGATAAGAAAACTTGAAAGTCCAAGACCACAGGAAGATGTGGGATCTCCATCGTTGATGCTGAGGCAATGGCTACAACCATGGCTAGAGCTTCCACAAGTCGAGCAGGAACCGAATGAGAATCTTGTTTGAGCTCCAAACCGAAGTCCAAGAAGATTTTCTTCCCTGCTATAAAACAATTTCCACCAAAAGGGGAATTTGATAGAACATAACCCTCCATAAAGGAGTAGGCATAGCAACTCTTGCCCAAATACACACAAGGCAATCGAGTGAAAGAACCCTTAACAAACACCAAGGGATTTGTGAACAAAACCTTGGAAATAGAGACTCTACCAATGAGAGTAGGATTGATTTCAACTACACAATTTGCATTCTCTACCCGAGAGAAATGCTTACTAGGCTCACAATTCGCTTGAAAGACTCTAACAAATCTTTTAACCATTTCAGCTCTAATACAATGAAGCCTAGGACCTTGAGAAAAGGAGAACGAGAGGCTAGATGCATACCTGGTCGAGAGAGGCTCGAAACAGGACCCATAACAAATCCGCAAGTAGATCTGACATCAAAACCAGCACACAGCAGTAAGGGATCGCATAGAAGCGATATGTGCGCCATCAAAGGGCACAAGGTTATGCACGACTAAACCAGAGGCTGCTAAAACTAAAGATGAAGAACAAAATACCGGTGAACCCGAATCTAGATCTAGATTCAGGAGAAGCATTGAGGGGGGAGATGAGGATGGAGGAGAGATGGGAGACTGGTCGGGAAAGGAAGAATGGTCGAGGATAGAGGGTGGGTCGGGAGGATCAGGCGGATCTGGTGGATCTGGTGGAGGAGAGTCACTAGCGACCGTGGCGGCGGCTATGGGAGGAGGCTCCTTAGGGTTTTTTTAGAATCGCCGAGGAGAGAGAATTTTTTTTTCTTGATTCGTATCTTTTCCATATCGCATCGCAATCTGTCTGTCTCGTACCATACAAGAGTAGAATGATGCTCATGAACAAGAGTTGGAAATAGTGTAGTAAGATGGGAAACAATCAACCGGTTTTTATAGCCATACTCCAAAACAGTGTTTGTAAAGAGAAATTAAACAAACAACTAATAGAGCAATACTTAAATGCAAAACCAAATAGGGTCTAAATGGTATTGGCTGAATATGGCTGAATAACTTAAAACCTAAATGGTAGCGGTTGAATCTAGTTGGATTTTTGAAGCTTAATTAAATAAAATTTAAAACAATTAGTTAAAATAATTTATTTTTAATACAACATTAGATAAATAAACTAATTAAATATTAAATTCGAATTTTAGTAAAGTTATTAAATTTATCAAAATAACATTTG